GCATAGTGGTTGGTGCCTGTAGTCCCAGCTACTCGGGAGGCTGAGGCAGGAGAATGGTGTGAACCCAGGGGGCAGAGCCTGCAGTGAGCCGAGATTGCGCCACTGCACTCCAGCCTGGGTGACTGAGCGAGACTCTGTCTCAAAAAAAAAAAAAAAAACTTATATAGTATTTTTAAGATTCCTTTGCACCATTTCTCTTAGATTACTTATCTTTAACAATTATAAAATGTTCATAAGATTGTCAGTACCATATTGTCTTTTATCCTAGGTACATCTGCAGGTTTTAATGTAGTACTTCTTTACTTCACTCATTTTATAATGGATGTCAGAAACAAAAATTAGAATAAGTTGCTTTTTAGACAAGCAGATACTTTATTGTTGGCTAGTAAGTGAAGTATTTATACCAGACTGGCAGGTAGAAGCCACTTTTCTGAAAGAGGTTTTGCCCTGGCACTTCTGTTATTACCTTAGATTAGTTTGTAACAATCTACAGATTGTTATAAAATGTATAGGTTGATAAATTATCCACCACCTAAGTAAAATGTAAAGGTTCAGTAGAGAAAATTCTCATCCAAATGGAAAGTTGGTGAGAGTGCTGTATGTTAGCAACTACTTTGAGAGAAGCCTTACTGGTTCTATTCATGTCACCAAATAGAACTTACCAAGTTTAGATCTGCTGCAAACCATTTTCTTGCCAGCTGAATCCATAAAAGACTCATGAACCTACTTTCCCTTTATATGGCTATTTATTCTTATTTAACAGTAGTTATTCTGATTTGTTTTATTGGATTTTACTTAGAAGATTGTGAAATTCTAAGCTTAACATTTTGCTTAACATTTAACATAAACTAATTGTAGCAAAGAACTGCAGTTATTGAGCTAAAAATTTAGAATATTATAAAAGAAAAACATAATAGTTGAATTTGGTGTTTTTCTAAGAAAGTTGTAATTGATCTTATAGCAAACATTTTAAGAAGTATGTCTGGAGAAAATGAAGCAGACAAAAAAGAATTTTTTTTTAAACAAGTATGTCAGTGCTTTCAAGAATTTTAGGCTCTAGTTTGTGAGCAGAGGGGGACTCAGTCTTTTCATAAAAAAGGTTGATGATCAGAGCAGTATGTTAGCTAGAGATCTACCTGTGTTTTCAAGGGATATCTTAATCATCTTAGATTGAAATAATTAAATGCTATAATGAAAATTCTACGAAGTAATTGCTCATGAGAATTTTTAGAAATTATGAGAAACCATCATTTAAATGAATAATATGACACAGAAAATTTACTTTGCTCACCCCGGACTGTTGGAAAGAAAAGTTGAATATTAATCACTCACATTAGACTGTGAAGTAGAGGAATAGGCTTAATAGAAAACCTCCTACATTATATTATTTTTAAATGCCTTCTGACTTGGTCTCTCTGCTTATTCTCAAGATAGTACAGAAAAAGACTGCTCTAAAGTGTTAGTGTCAGAGGACAGATTTTGAAGCATAAATAATAATGTAAATAGCATGTGTATTCTGTAGCTTTGAGATCATGTTTTCCTAGTGAAAAACACTGGAAAATCTCCTGATTCTCTTTTGTAAGTTTTCTGGTGCTAGAGGAAGAAAGTATTCACTGAAACTTTTTTTTTTCTCCTTAACTGAAGGAGTATTACAAATGTGGGATTTGACAGAATCTTTGGAGAAATTGTTTCATTCAACTCCTTTATTTTATAGCTCCAGTGTAGGGAACTGGAGACTTTTTTAGAGCTGCATAGAGCTACTTAGTAGTGATTTAAAAGAACCAGTGCTTTTTTTCATACCACACAAACCTTAAAAAATTCTAGTTCAGTGGTTTTCACAATTTGTTTGAGAAGTGGAACCCTTTCCCAGTCCCCCTTCCCCCAAGAAAATCTTGTACACACACAATCCCAGAATATAGAATAGAAAAGTGGAGCTATACTTGTTGTGTTTAAGGGCAGAGCCCCACTCAACATAGCCTTTTCCCTTCCATAGCTAGAGATCTACCTATGTAGTGTAGGTTTAGATTATATTATGTAGGTAGTGTTTGGACATAGTTTGAAAACTGGAAATACAGTGATTTTTTTTTTTAAAGAGATTTGCCCCATGTAGTATTCAAGTTGCAATGGGGAAGTCAGTGAAGAAAAGGAAGGTCATAAATCTTGGTAGAGACTTTTGGGACGTGTTCTAGCAGTTCTGCTCTAACACCAACCCATGTGGTCCAAACATGGATGGCTCCTAGTTCTTTAGGACTCATTTCTGTTTTTTTGCTAGGTTTCCTGTGTTCAGGTAGGAACACCAGATATAATATCTTTGTGTTTAGACCTGTGACAAGGCCACAATATCAGATACTCTTCCTAGTTTTCTGGTTTTAGTATAGGAAATTCTTGAATCAGATTGCTAAGATCATGCCAAAATCATTTGTGACATGTTTCCCAGTGTCTTGGTTTGAGAAGAGTCCATCACAGACATATCGTACTGTGAGGAGGCCACTCCCACTAGTTCTGCCTGAGCCCCCACTTTGAGAGAAAAGTATGGTGAGTGTTCCCAGGTTTGAAAGGCAAACTTCCTTTTGTTCCTCTTAACCTCCCACAACTACACCCCTTAAGCTCTTGTGCCCACCTGTTGGTCACCATTGTGGGATGGCTAAACCTCTCTCTCCTTACCCTTCTTCTACCCTTGCTCTGTTGTGTGGTTGTGCTCACATCTTCCTCTTTCTGATGTGGCCCACTCGGATAAACTCAGACCGTTAACTCTACCTAGATTAGTGTGCTGGTCTTTGTAGTTCCTAGCTGGGCAGTAGTCAAAGTCCATGTTCTAGTTGTAGAGTAGGTGCAGCCATAAAACAGAACAAAATCATGTCCTTTGCAGCAACATGGATGCAGCTGGAGGCCATTATCCTAAGTGAATTAACACAGGAACAGAAAACCAAATACCACACGTTCTCACTTACAAGTGGGAGGTAAACATTGGGTACACGTGGACATAAAGATGGCAACAGTAGAAACTGGGGACTACTAGAGCGGGAAGGGAGGGAGGGAAGTAAGGGTTGAAAAACTGTTGGGTACTGTGCTCACTACCTGGTTGACAGGATCACTTATACTCCAAACCTCAGCATCATGCAATATATACCTAGGTATATATTGCACATGGGTACCCCCTGAATCTAAAAGTAAAAAGAAGCAAATTAAAAAAAAAAAAAAAAAGGAAGAAACAGACCTCTCCCCACACGTCTCCTGGTTTTTTGAAGGTGGCTGTGGTCAGACTATTCCAGCAGGTTCCTCAGTGCTTCATGCTGTTCATCAAACCTGGATCCATGTGGGCCTACCATTTATGTCATTTATTGTTATAAAAAATAATAAATATTCTCTTGACACCTTATAATTAGAGTTCATTTAAGTCCTTTTTACCAACTCCATTAGAGGACTTGTCTGGTGTTGAGAGTTTTGGTAGTTTCAGTATATGTGCTTGTTTTGTTTCTTCCACTGGATCTCAAGAAGGAACAGATTATTTTGTCATCTTATAGAACAAATTCAGATTGTACAAGATTAGAAGGAATTTACTTTGATGTTATTTTGGAGAAAAGAGTTACTTGGGACTTGGGTGGAAGTGGAGTTCATATGGATGGTTTTGTTTTGAATAATTTCTAAGGTCTTTTCTAGCTCTATCATTTTTTGTCAGTCTTCCACCTCTAAAATATAACTCTCTACTTACTTAGTTTTTTCATACAGAAAGATGATAGTGACTGTCTTCCTCTTACTTAAATACATGTCTCTTTTTAGGATTCTACCATAGTATTGATTCTGCCATGGCATTTATTATGCCCAGTGACCAAGGCATTAGAATATTTGTGAATTCTAGAATATTTACCTTTCTAAGCCAATAAATATCGTTCATTTGCTAAAGAACATTTCATTAAACGAGGTACAGTTGGCTTTCCATATCCATGGGTTTGGCATCTGGATTCAGCCAACATGAATTGAAAATACTTAGGAAGAAATTTGACAGAGTTCCAAAAAAACCTTGCATTTGTTGCACACTGAGTATTACTTGGAATCCACACAGATGAAGTGATGTGTAGGCATTCTGGGTTGTTGGGTTTGTTGAGCATGTTGGGTTTTGTTATCTTTTGGGGGATCCTAGAAGTAATCCCCCATGGATACTGTGGGATGACTGTACTTATTTTTTAGAAATAATTTCTACACTGTAGCCCCTTTTTCACTCCCAGTTTCTTTCATTTCTTTTTTGTAGGCTTCCTAAAATACTGGCAGAAGCTCCATCCTTTCTCTGTGCTTTGTTCCAATATTTTTAGCATGTTTCAGCTTGTTCTACATCCCTGGGATATATAATAAGACCTAGCCTAAATGTAAGCTTGATAGTTCAGGGACTATCTTAAGTGTTAGGTAACTTTTTTCTTTTAAAGGAGGGAGAGAGAACAAATTCTAATACTAGTTAATAGTGTCTTACCCATAGTGTGTTATCTAATGCCTTTCAAACTAGGGGAAAAAAAGAAATCAGTGAACAATATGATGGTAGATGCTAAAATCTGCCATTTTGTTGTATGTTTCTGACAGTTTCAGTTATTTTGCATTTGTATTATACAATGACTAACATCAGCCTTTTACCATTCTTTCCTCTGGTATTTTTCAGTAACAAATAATGAATGTATTTAGAGATAAAAATAATTTTGTGATCAAATGTGTTCTTGTAGAGTACGTTATTTTCCCTTATTTTCTCTGTGGTATTGCAAACAGTCATGGTGTGTGCTGCAGGTTATATGAGGATGAATAAGACTTGGTCCAGAAATGTCCAAAATACCCAAAACTGGAAAAAAGTTATCCCTGATAGTTAAATGGTCAAGATAGGCTTCCTGAAGGTGATGGTGTTTAGCCAGTCCTGGAAGGAATGGGCAATACAATTCCAACTGGTAGAAATAAGATGATTAAGGGTAAAATAAGAAAGGGGAAGATTAGTGCATCGTATAGAGCAGGACTGTTTAGCAAGAGTGTAGACCACAAGTTGAGGGTATGCTAGGAAATAAGGCTAGAAAAGAAGGTTGGGGTCAGATTATGGAGATCCTTATTAATAAAACTAAGGAGTTTAGTTTATTTCTGGTAGGCATTGGGGTGCTGCTGAAGAGAGTAGGGAAGGAATATATGATGCTAACTAAGGTTATTTTGACAATGCTGTAACTGAAAGTGAGGAAGAGAGACACTTTACTACAGGTAATAATTTGAAGGCTTTCCATGTACAGTCATTGTGCCAGAAAGTTAGGGATAAAAAGATGAATATAATACAATGCCACACCTTCGGTCTTGTAGTCTATAATGGAAAGGCTAAATGGTTAAATAGATTATTATAATGCAATGTGGTAAATATGTTAAAAGGTTTTAGTGTCTTTTTTTAAAGACAGTCTCACTCTGTCTCTTTGCCTGGCTGGAATGCAATGGCTTGATCTCACCTCACTGCAACCTGTACTTCCTGGGCTCAAGCCATTCTCATGCCTCAGCCTCCTGAGTAGCTGGGTTTACTCATCTACCACCACGTCCAGCTAATTTTTTGTATTTTTAGTGGAGAAGGGGTTTCACCATGTTGGCCAGGCTGGTCTTGAACTCCTGGCCTCAAGCGATCCACCCGCCTTGGCCTCCCAAAGTGCTAGGATTACAGGCATGAGCCACCATGCCTGGCCATAAGTATGTTAAAAGGTTGATACAGAAACAGATGACCATGGTATTTAGGGTGTTTGAGGGGTTGAGGGAGTCAGGGGTAACTCCAGAAAGGACTGATACCTGTGAATTGTCCTCAGGGGTAAGAAGGAATTAGCAAAACTCCCAAATTAAAATCTTTACGAAAAACATTTCATCTTAGTGTTGTCTACTATTTTCTACAAAATATATATTTCTAAATTTTTCATTTACTATTTTAAAATTCTTAGCTTCCCTCCTCATCCCTGATTTAAAAAAAAATTTTTTTTTGCCCTTTGACTTCTTACATTCTTAATGAATGTGTTTATGAGTACTTTGGACTCCACTGAAAAAATTATAAGAGGCCAAGAGAGTAGGATGAAGGGCCTTCTAGACAGGGGGAACAGACTGAAAAAAAAAAAAAAAAAAAACAGACGTTGGATACAAAAAAGTAGTTTCTGCTCTCATGTAAATGTTCAGCATACATTGCAAATACAGAACTCAAGTTCCAAAGATAATTATATTAGAAATACAGATTTGGACCTGATTTCTAAGATGATGATGATGGATGGGTAGGCTGGATAAATAGATGAGTTGGAGGTAGAAGATGTGGGGAGAGAAAAGACTCAGCAGGGATGGAAAGCACAGGGAGGAAAAATGGCCACCAGAGATAACAGAGCAGCCTATGTTAATTAATGATCAACTGTGGTTTTTTTGTGTTTTTTGTTTTTTTTCCTGGCCCAGATGGATAGCTCCCAGTTGATCCACTGTCGGGAGCTTGTGGCACATCACCTTTCTACTCTGCAGTCTTCCCTGCCTCTAAATTCCGTTTATGTCTACCGTCCCCTCAAGCACACCCTGGTGACCTGTGACAAAGGAGTGTTCAGATTACATCCCTCCTCTGTCCCAGGCCCAGACTTCTCCAAGGACAACAGCAAGCCAGAAGTGCCAGTCAGAGGTACAGCAGCCTTTTACCATCATCTCCCAGCTGCCAGTGGGTGCAAGCAGACCTCTGCTAAACGCAAAGTAGAGGAAATGGAAG